ACGACTAGAAACAACAAGAAGGAGCCAAAAACAAAAGATAAAAGATAAAACCGCGAGCCTTGGACTCTTCCGAAGACTGACGGGTGATACGTTGCCCTCCTCCAAGGGACTTCAAGCCACGAGCCCGGACCCATCTTACGGCTGGTGGAAACTCCGACTCCCTCCCATAGGGATTTCACTAAAGTTCTTCCCAAAGAACACAAGTGCAAAACACAAATTTTTTTATTATAATTCCATCATACCTAATACATGAGAAGGGGCCTCTATATATAGGACTCAAAAGAAATTAAAAGACACATTTGCCCCTTGGGCTTACATAAGACAAGAGGGTAAAAAGGGATATTGCACAATTAAATCAAAATACACTTAATAAACTAAAATAAAACAAAGTGATCTTGGTCGCCGATCTTCAGCTCTTCGGATAGGCATGGACGGTTGGATGTCCGCATCACATATATCCCAAATTTCCCTATTTGATTGGGGGTATTTAATAAAAACATATTAATTTCCTTTTTGTTTAACAAAGCAGCTTATCTTGTTAACCTACGCGCTGTTGAAGACAAACTACATATTCTCCACAATGCGAGAGCTACAATTGTGAGAGCTGTGATGTGAGAACTGCGGGATCGAGACTATAAGCGACAACATATTCTTCATGATCATTTTTGTGCGAGATCAACGTACGCTCATCAAAGGATTTTGTTGATTCAACTATGAACCGCAACGCAAAGACGCACTGAAATATTGCTTAATATTGCTTGACGAGAGTCAACAATCATGAAATGTCAATCCCTCCGATTGAGATTTAGGGCATGCAACCACTGAAGCTCCATCTCATATGGGTACGTGTTTTGCATCCCTTTTTTTTATTCAGCTTTTAGATTTCCTAGTTCAGCGATTTATAGTCCCTTGTTTTAGCATGTGGTGGGTTCTAACAGAAGGTGGTTGTGTTTAATTTTGGCACTTCAACTGTATCCAGTAAACTATTTTCCTTCTATTCCCCCTTTATAGCATTGTAATAACTTATGATTCTTCTCATGCATGTTGACTTGTATATCTAAACTATAACTTAAACCGAGCCTTTTTCTTCCCCGCTGGCAAGTTATTTCTATACTTTCTAAGCCTTCCTACTGTATGTAGCTAACGTCTAGAATTGACAATGCTAGAAATCCGCATATATGCACGGTAGCTTATAGTTATTTTTTCTTATTGTTAGATGGGATTGGATACTTTTTTCTTTGCTTTTATCAGTATTCTAATTTGCTGAATTTAACTTGTAGTTTAGCCTAAATCTTAGAGTCTTTTCATAAGAAACTTATTTAGGATCTTTTTAGGATCTGAATATGACCACCGAGTTATGTAAAACATTATTGAAAGAATTTAATAAAAATTGGTATAAGTTCAGGGTCCCTTTTTTCATGTCATTGAAGGCTATGTGTCTTGCAACGCTTTTATTTTTTCGTACAATACATGATGAGGACATTCGTAGAAGATTCCGACATATGTACCATCGGAGGGGTTGTCGAGCGACGGCCATGATTCAGCAGCTTTATTTTTTATGCTTTATTTTAGTCATGTCATTTTATTTCTTGTTTTTCCATTTGTACCCCTATTAGGGAATTAGTGTTTTTTGTAGCCCAAGGGCAATGTTGTCTTTTATTCTCTTTATTTTCAATGAGCCTATATAAGGGCTTGATCACAATACTATTGTATGGATTGGATGAATGAAATTTTCTACTTTATGTTCTCTTTGTGAGTACTTGAAGATCTCTTGGTGAGTTCTTCGTTTGAGATCTCTTAGTGAGTTCTCTAGGTAATTACAATTCTAGTATTTTATTCTTCCCCCTACATCTTCCTCACCACAAGAAATCCAACCTAATTTCACCCTAACCCCTAGCCGCCGGCCCCCTTGGGTTTTCCGCCGCCGGCCACCCTCCCAAACCCGGCCGACCACCTCACCAATGCCCTTCCCCCACCCGGCCAACTCCCTCTCTCCACAAATTTCAAATTTGAAATTTGGTATTCAAATTTTGAATTATTTCCTAATTTAGAATTCCAAATTAGGAAAATTCACATGATTGAATCCAATTTCAAATTAATTTAATTTGGAGTCTTTAAATCCTATTTCCACCTCGGCAAACCCATTTGGAAACCCCCTCTCCTCTCTCCCCGAATCCCTCCTCCCTCATAAACCCGCCGGCCCCCTCCTTAGGGAGTTTGCATTGAAGGCACTAAATGCTCTCCTCCCTCATTAAAGATTTCAAAATTACTTTTACTAAAATTCCCTCCAATTACTCTTAAACTGAAATTTAATTTCAGTTTTCCCACAACCCTAGCCCCCTCCTTGATGTCGCCGGCCTCTATTGGCTCCCCCATTGATTGAGCAATAAATCCCCCCCCTTTAATTTGGGATTTTAAAATTTGATCCCAAATATTTTCCCACCTAAATCCCTTAAACTGAAATTAATTTCAGTTTTCTAACACAAACCTCACCCTTTCACCTTAGCTCTATCACCAGCCCCCCCTCCTCTCTACAACCCGCCAACCCCCTCTCTCCCTCCCATTGTTGAGCTTCTTCTTCCTCTCCATGTCGCATGGCGGATCCTAAGCTAGAATGGGGGCTTGTGTTTGATGCCCAAGGCAATCTCGACGTACTACGATCGCCGTTCTTTGACGCGGGATTTGAATCCGACAAAGACGCCGTGGGAGATTACTTGGATCGGATCCTCCCAACCCTCATCCAAGTTATTGATAGACAACGTCCGGATTACGAGTGGACCATCGACGGCCGACCTTCCACACCACCTCCACATCCGGCGCCTTCCTCTCCTTCCCTACGGATCTCCGGCACCGCCGCCCTCGGAGTGGTTTCATCTCTTGTGTGGTTCTTCTTCTTCCAACAACCCTAGAAGTAGATAAATGAGCGTAGCCTCAAGGTGAGACAATCGCTTTGTTAACCGTTGGATTCTCGTTGGCTTTTCATTTGCACTACTACTTATTGCCGTTGTTATTTTATAGATCTTGCTAATTTAGCGGTATTATTTGCCTAGATTTGGTTAAATTCTGAGATCTTTCTTGAAGTTTCAATTAAGAAAATCATTAAGACTGAACTTTCACTACTTTAACAAACTTTTATTAATTTTCTGAGATTCAAATTCCTGGTTTCACATCAATACAGTTCAGGTCACTGGGGGTGATCGACAAGAAGAAATACTATCGATCATCAATGTTTAGATGTTTTAGGAGGTAACTTTGTTCATTTGTATTCTTTCAGATTTTGAAATAGAGTTCTATTTTTTATTGTATAGTTCAATATTTTTATGCATTTTATTGGTCAAATAAGAAATAATGGACTATGTGCAGTTTTCAAATGGCATGATAACTCGAATTTCATTAATAGACTTTTTGGAGGAGATCACCAACAAATGACCTACAACCTCCGCATAGCTTGACCAGCTTTGCAGATGTTTTGGAGGAGATCATTAGTGAAAATTTTTTTTTGTAACAAAGGTTTTTAGAGTTTTGTGGCCAATAACACCAATTTTTTAATAAGGATTTTGAAGCTTTATAATAAATGACAATATTTTTTGCAACAAGAGGTTTGGAGTTTTATATGATCCACCATTTGTTAATTATTCACTCTTATGATTTAAATGGTTAGCTTTCATTATATTGTTGGCATTTATTTAATTTAATAAGTGAAGAAGACGTGATATTTATTAGGAGAAATCAATTATAATTGGTATTTATTTTAATTTAATCAATGATAAATATTTAATTATCAAATTAAAATAAATACCCAAGATTACCTTAACTTGGCATTTATTTTAATTTAATATATGACCTATTTAAATGCCAAATTAAAATAAATGACAAATAACCTTGAATTTAGTATTTATTTTGATTTAACTACTAACAAAGATGTTATAAATTATGACGTGTATGGATTTCAATAATTTTTTATAAGCGCTTGAACTAACTAAAATATACTTACATTTTACTTTGGTATTAACTTTAAGTGTTATTTTCAGTGTTAGGACTAAATTGGATCATTTTTAATAGTCATGGGAAATTGAGGTGATAAGAAACTCTAGAACTAAATTGGGCATTGCTAATACTCGAGGGACCATTTTAGGCTTTTTCTGATTACCATCTAAGTTCATCAATGCATACAACAAAAATTAAAATTTTCATCAAATTGCCTGTTTTAGCCTCAATAATCTAAGCTACCGATGTAATTGCCAAATACAATTCATAGAAGTATGATTCGGACATCTAACCGTCCATGCCTATCCAAGGAGTTGAAGATAGACGGCCGTAATCGTCCTACGTTATCTTAAATTTGTATTTGTAATTTTTATTTTAATTATGTATTTTCCATTTTTACCCTTAAGGGTCCAATCTTATGTAAGTTGTAGGAGCATGATCGTCTTAGTTAAGTTGCTTTTATTTCTGAGACCTATATATAGAGGCCCTTGCTAGTGTAATGGAATGATGGAGTTTTAATAAAAAAAAATTGTTTTGCACTTTTGTTCCTTGGTAGGATTTTAGTAAGATCTCTATGGGAGGGAATCGTAGTTTCACCAGTCGCAGGATGGGTCCGGGCTCGTGGCTTGAAATCCCTTGGTGAAGGACAACGTAACACCCGTCAACTGCAGGAAGCGTCCTGCTCATGGTTTTCTTTGTTTTTGTTTCTCCTTATTTTTTTTTCTAATCGCCATCTCCATCCTCTCTCCAATCCGCCGGCTTCATCCCCTCCACCCAAACCCGCCGCCCCCTCTCTCTACTTAATTATTACTTCTCCATTAAGGCCCCCAATCTCTCTCCTATTTTAATTAACTCCTTCCCAAAAAAATAGAACTCCATTTAAGGGATTAATTAAATACCCCTTCCCTCTCTTTTCCATTTAATTTGAAATTCAAATTTCAAATGATCCCCTCCCCCCATATCCGTTCTATATCAAAGTAGCTCATTAAAAAGAATATAGAAATATCACATACCAGGTGTTGGCAATGTTGGCAAGCCATGTTTGCTTTCTCCAACATTATGCAGTGAAGAGCGGGAACTTTCCTCAGCCACCGACGTATCTGCCAAGATCTTTGGCAATTCCTTTATAAGTCTTGCTGCTTCCTCTGGCTTGCTTAGAAGTTTTTTTCTATCCATGTACTCATATAGTGTAAAACCATACCAAGTTAAGGTGAAATCCTATAGAAAAGGTATTTCAATTACTATGAAAGTAACATTAAAAAAAAACATTAAATCTAAAAAATTAGATCATATGAACTGTTCAAATGCATTAAGAGAAACCAAGGATATTCTTTGCGCCATCCCTTTTCATTTGCTCGTTCAATCAGTTTATCCAACTTCAAAAGCTCTTTATTGATCGACTGGAAAAGAAAAGATTTTATCAAATATGATGAGACATGGGCAAGGTGTCTTTCAACGGCATAAATTTTAGCTAGCTAGGGAAAGATGAACCAGCAAAATATCAAATCGAACATAAAAAAGATGAATAGAAGTATGACGAAACATACATGCTTCACTATATCCTCGTGAATAATACTTATTTTCTTCTCTAGTTCAACCTGCCAGAAAGTAATGAAATGTTAACTAGGCACTAGTTTGAAACCAAGAAAAAAAGTCAATTATTAATAGTGGTGTTTGCATATAAAAAAAATGTGAAGCGCAAAAAGAGTTTTCTATTTCGAAATTAAGAGGTGCAAGCTCTAGAAAATGACCCTCAAATCAGCTAAATAATAAAACAAAAGTCAAAAATGATAAAAATTGATATATTTATCAAACAATAAATAAACTATTGAAATATTCAATAGCTGCATATAAATTAGAAAGCAGTCATCTAAAAAGAATAAATGAAAAGGCTCAAACCCAACCCAAACTAAACTCATCCTTGATGTATTCTTTCAGTTGATGCATATAAAATGTTCTAACTTGTTAAAAATACTGTTGCTTTCTTATGGATAGAAAAGTAATCCCTATTGGTAGATTTGAGGGGATGATCACCAGCGCACCACCTAAGGGCTGATTTCAAGGAGCATCTGTAGCTGGTGGGCTGCCAAAGATGGCGTAACAATCGCAGCAACAACGAGGGAATGTCACCTTGGCCCTCGGATTGATAACATGGCAATGGATAGCCCACGAATTGTTGACTCTAAGTTTACATTCTACGCTGATTTACAAATTTTTTAATGTAACTTAATTGTAGCCCTTTTTTTCTTTTAGTACGCAAGGAAAAAAAAACTTTGTCATAAAAATTGGTTTATAAGTAAAAATTTGAAAAATTGAGAAAAATATAGAGAGGCCGCAAGTAAGAAAGCAATATTTGATGAAAAATTTAGTTTTTAGTGATTTATGTAATAGATTAGATACTAAAGATGATGAAAGATGTATACATAAGTTAGTCGAGCAAAAAGATAGAAGTAAAGATTTAGCTCAATTGAAATGCGTTAAGCATGAAGATGAAAAAATATTTTTCTAAGAATATTGGGGAGTTTGTAGAGTTGCGCTGAAGAGTTGTTGAGTTGGAGTGTTGTTTGGAGAGTTTGAGTTTGTTGCTTGGAGATTCTTAAGAGTTGAGCTGTTTGTACGGGGTTGGATTTTATAAGTCAAATAGTGAAAAAATATCCCCCCACTCCCTTTTTATTGCATTTTTTCTAACAAACAACTCTATTTTGATTAACTTAATTAACCAAAAATCTCAATTTTTTTAAAACAATAGCTCTCGAATTTTAATTAGCCAATTTCATTAATCAATTTTAATTAATTAATTTTGACTAATTAATTTTTTTATTAATTAAGTGATTTTTTAATCAATTTTAATTAACTGATTAATTTTTTTATTAACAATTTTCAATTAACTAATAAATTTACATTAATTAATTCTAAATGATTAATTATTTTCAATTAATTTCAACTAATTACTTAGTTTTAATTAATCAACCATAATTAATTAATTAGTTTTATTTAATTAATCTATATTAAAAAGTTAATTTTGTATTAATTAATTTCAAATAATTAATTAATTAATTTTATTAATTTTAAATTATTTAATTAATCTCAATTAATTAAATATATTTAATCCATTAGATTAATTAATCAATTAATTAAATAAAATTGATTTGCTTTCCAATTGCTCCAAAAGTTTTGTA